AATAATAATAATAATAATGACAAATAAAATTAAATAAGTAAATTTTAAGAAAAGATTTTTGAAGGGGCCAGTAAGCAGTTTAGTCGTTAAGGCGCTAGACTCCCACATGGCTGACTACGGCTTGAAAATCACACCTGGCGCGTGATTGCCCAAAATCCCGAAAGGAGGATGGAGGAGAAGGGATTACAGTGGGGATGATTTCTCACTTAACCCTCTCACGGTCTTTGTCTTTCTTCGGGCAAGTACATACGACCTATGACAGAAACCTTTAAAAGAAAAGATTTTTGAATACATTTATTTACAACTTTTAAAGCCTAAAGAGGAGTAAACGGTGAAGTCGTGTTCCATCCTTTCCTCATGTGCCCAGCCCCTTCCAATAACAACTTGGGTTAGTTTCATCGGTGTTAACATTTTCCCAGAGTGTTTATAGGCACTTATAAACCAATGCTAGTATGTCTTTTCCATCAGGAATTTTTTTTCTGTAATATTTTATTGTGCTAAAAGACACATCACGTCATACTTACTCTCCTGATCTTTGTTAAGTACGCAGCTCAGTGGCGTGAATATGGCGCAGCGCTGCCATCCATCTGCAGGACTCTTTAATCTTGCAAAACTGAAAATCCATACCCATTAAACCACTATTTCTACCCCACCCCCCAGCCTCTGCAACCACCATTCTACTTCCTGTCGCTTGTGATTTTGATTACTCTAAGTGCCTCTTATAAGTGGAATAATACAGTATTTGTTCCCTTTGATTGAATAATTTCACTTAGCATAGTGACATCAAGGTTTATTCATGTTGTAATGTTTTTCAGAATTTCCTTTCTTTTTCAGGTTGAATAATATTCCACTTATGTCTGTGCCACATTTTATTTATTCAGTCATCTGTTGAGGGACTCCTGGGTTGCTTCCACACTTAACTGCTGTGAATAATGTGGGTACGAATGTGGGTGTACACATGTCTCTTTAAGACCCTGCTTTCAATTCTTTTGTGTCCCCACAGACCTTTTTTTCCTTTTTTTTTTGGAGAGGTTTTTGCTGTAGGGTGCGTGCGCTTGCCAGACAGACAGAGAGACATAGAGACAGAAAGTGAGAAATCACCCCCCAGGGGGGATGGTCATGCCGCAATCCCTTCTCCTCCATTCTCCTCTCGGGATCTTGGGCACGCACGCACACGCGCCCGGCATGAGTTTTAAGCCACCGGGTCTGGGATGCAAACCGCAGTCGACTACGTGGGAGTCCAGTGACATTGCCATTACACTAACTGCTGGTTCCCCCCACAGACCTTTTTTAAAGATGTTTTTGTCTTAGGTTCACAGCATATTTAAGAGGAAGGTGTAGAGATTTCCCACATACCCCTCACAAAAATGCAGAGCCCACTTCCCATTGTCACATCCTCCACCAGAGTGCCGCCACCTCCACAGCACTGCCTTTCCCACAGTGTCACACAGCTGGATCAAACAGCACGTAGTCTTTTTGGATGGCTTCTTTCACTTGGTACTTTGCATTTAAGGTTCCTCCATATCTTTTCATGAATTGATAGTTCATTTCTTTTTAGCACTGAATAATACTCCATTGTCTGAATGTACTTCGGTTTACTTATCCATTCACCTGCTTAACCAAGGCATCCAGGCTCCTTCCACATTTTGTTAGTTATGTATTTTTTTAAAGAATTATTTATTTATTATCATTTTTCAGTTTTGACCAGGGAGAGAAAGAGAGAAAGAGAGAGAGAGAGAGAGCGAGCGAGAGAGTGCACTCCAGCCACCAGGTCTGAGACTCAAACTGCAGTTGGCCACGTGGGAGGTCCAGCACTTTTAAGCATCAGCCACCTGCCGGTCCCCTGTCAGCTTATGTATTAAGTGACCATGAGGCTTTTGTGTAAATGGAAGTTTCCCCCTTCCTTCAGTAAATAAGAAAGAGTATGACTCCTAGATCAATGGTGAAAGTATGTTTTGGTTTGTTAGAAGTTGCCAAACTAGCTCTAAAAGTGGCCGTACCATCTTGCACTCTCATGAACAATGAATGAGAGTTCCTTTGCTCCTCTTCCTTATCAGTGTTTGGTGTCTGTGTTTCAGATTTTGGCTGTTCTTTTTTTTTTTTTTTTCTAACATTTCTTTATCTGTTTGTTGTGTCTTTCAAGCTGCCAGGTCTGGGACTTGACCCATGGTCAGACATGTGGGACTCCAGTGCCTTAACCACCACGCCACCTGCTGGTTCCAGATTTTGGCTGTTTTAGAACAGATAAAGGTGTGGTGTATCTCAGTCTAGTTTGCATTTGCTTAATGATGTATGATGTGGAAGCAACTTTTTATATGCTTATTTCACATCTATGTATCTTTGCTGGTGAGGTAGATGTCTGTGAAGGTCTTTTACCCATTTTTTTTTTCTTTTTAGAGAGGTTTTTGCTATAGGGCATGTGCTCGCTAGAGAGACAAAGAGACAGAGAGATAGAAAGCGAGAAGTCACCCCCCAGGGGGAATGGCCATGCTGCCATCCTTTCTCCTTCATTCTCCTCTAGGGATCCTGGGCATGCATGCACATGCGCCCGGCATGAGTTTGAAGCCACCAGATCTGGGGCTTGAACAGCAGTCGACTACATGGGGGTCCAGTGACATAACCATTACGCCATCTCTTTGACCCATTTTTTTAATAGGTTGTTTGCTTTCCTATTGTGTTCTAGGAGTTCTTTATCTCTTTGGGGTAACAGTCCTCTGTCAGTGTGTCTTCTGCAAATATTTTCTCCTGGTCTGTGGCTTGTCTTCTCTTTCTCTCAACATTGTCATTTGCAGAACTCTTCAATTTTAATGAAGTCTGACTTATCAATTATTTCTATCATGGATTGTGCCTTTGGTGTTTTATCTAAAATGTGTGGCCCTAGCCAACGTCATCTAGTTTGTCTCCTATGTTACCTTCCAAGAGTATTACGGTTTTGCATTTAACGTATAAATCTCTGATCCGTTTTGAGTTCATTTCTGTAAAGGGTCTGGGGCCTGTGTCTAAATTCATCTTTTGTTGTATGTGATTTTCCAGTTGTTTCAGCACTATTTGTGGAAAAGACTGTCTTCACTCTAGTGCGTTGGTTTTGCTCTTTTGTCAAAGATCAGTTGACTGTTCATGTCAGTCTATTTCTGGGCTCTTTATTCTATTCCCTTGATTTATAAGGGTACTTCAAAAAGTTTGCAGAAAAATAGAATCAAAATATGAGTATTTTGGTGCAAAATTTTTGAAATGCATGCATAGTTTGATAATAAGCATTTTTTCATGAACTTTTTGAAGACCTCTTGTATTTGAAAAGTTGTCAAGAGACCCTGTCAGAAATATCTTTTTCTCTCCTTCCACTTCTCCACTTGCTCACCCTTTCTTTTATATATAAAGAAAGAGAAGAAAGAAGGAAAGAACATCAGACCTTGTGGGCCTGTAACTCTCCTAAAATGAGAATGACATTCTTGGAGTTGATGTGTAGCTCTCAGGCAGCCCCTGACTGTTCTTGCCTGGTCTGTGATGGTTTAGAAGAAACTATTTTTAGTACTACTAATTTACTGGAACCATGCATTTTTTATTAAGATCCCGTATTTTTAACTTACTAGATTTTCAGAAAAAAAGCGTTGGTCTAGTAAAATGAGTCTTAGGCACTTTTTATATGGGAGCTGAAAAGGAAGCTATTTAAGAATAGAGAGAAATTTGATCTAATCATAGAGGTCTTTTATGGACTTCACCCGGTTAGTTTGAATTTGACCTGGGGGAATAATGGTCAGTACATGTGCACATCAACTAAAAAGGGGACCATAGAATGTAGATGCCCTGGGGCCTTCTGGGGCCTCTGGGCACTGCTTGTCTTGCCCACACCCACTGCCCACTCCTGACTGCCATAAGAGAGCTCTGTGTGGGTTTCACCTGATGTTTTCTTTCAAGGCCCTAATGTTGAGACATACTTTTCTCTTTTTCTGTGGTTTATAACAGTATATTCTGTAGGAGCTAATACAGCAATAGTAGACTTTATTGTGCCCTAAAGCAATTATTTTATTCTTCCTCTTCTTTTTTACTTTTAGTCATTAGGACTTTTCCAAATATAAAACCTTGAATGTAAGCATTTGTAAAATAACTATATGTGTAAGAGAAACAAAACTACCTGGAGCCGGGGCTACCTCCGTAGCATAGCAGTTAGGTGCGGTGCAGAGGAAGCCAGATCCCACATGGCTGTCCAGGGTTCAAGTCCTGGTCCTGTCTACTTGAAAATCATGCTTGGTACGTGTGTGGTCTTTGGGATGGAGAATCAGAGGAAAAAGAATTGTAGCATGATGGATCCCTGTGGGGAGGATTCTCTCTCCCTCTCCCTCCCACTCTTTCTCTTTTGCCTTTTTTTTTTTTTTTTTAAAGAGATTTTTGCTACAGGGCACATGTGTTAACTAGAGAGACAGCAGGAAATCACTTCCCAGGGCGGATAGGCATACTGCATTCCCTTTTCCCCCAATTGGCCTCTTGTGATTTTGGGCATGCGTGCACACACACCCAGTGTGAGTTTTAAGTTGCCAGATCTAGGACTCGAACTGCAGTCAGTCACGTGGGAATCCAGCACCTTAACCACTGTGCCACCTCTTGACTCCCCTTCTCTCACATTTTACAACTAGAATATTCTTGTTGAGCCTGTCTTGGGATCCAGCTGGATTTCTCTCCCTTTTTTTTTTTTTTTTTTTTTTTTTTTTTGTGTTTTTC